TGTGTATGTGTGTGTGTTTGTGTATGTGTGTGTGTGTTTGTGTGTGTGTGTGTGAGATTATATATATATATAAATAGATTCCATATGTACGTACATGTATATTCATTATTAATATATTATGTGTAGATGCATCCCTACAGCATATATGAAGGAAACGAACTTCAACTAACCTTGAGCTACATATATATCAAAATATACACTTGGGAATGTGATGATGGAGTTCGAAAGATACATACAGTACTCTGCGCAAGAGGAGATATATACAGTGCCATGGAACGTGTGAACTGAACTGATGGCATTTACTTTGTTACTCAGGCACGGATCCATTGTTCAATTTACCGTTTGGGTACCGAAATTTTTAAGTAGTAATTGAATAAATGTGTATAGCTACCGAGAGCGTAGGTGAGATGGGTCAAGATAAAATATGTGCCCATACGATTCAGGTCTCGTCAGTTGAAGGCATACAATATTGCACTACTACTATGTGATAGCTTGCCCACTCTTCATCATCACGACAGAGCTACCATATCATCATATGTCATATGCGATATAAATAGTTAAGCTGACCAATCTCTCCTTTATAATTCGACATTCATAAACTAACCTTAATAGCATGCACACGTTGCTTGGCACACGTTGCTTGCATGGATGCCCAACCATATTTAAAAACCTGTAAACGGATTGAAGACCTATTTAGTATTTACACACGTCTAAATATGGAATACCCGATCCCATAGCCTTTTTGACCGTTTACAGTTTTAGAAAAAAATGTGCTGGTTGGCCACCCATGCAGGGACTGCTCACGTATGTATCGGCAATAGACCTAAAACAGCCTATTTATAATACTTCAAACAAGAACTTTGTTTGAAAATCGTCTACAAAAGAGAATATAATTTCATCATAACATATTTTAAAGACAGTTCGCGGTGCCAATATGTATTCTAAAAACACGAGTTCCCAAGCCAGAGTATAGCTTTCTAAATTATACAGCCAGAGTGAGTAATTGATATATATTTGCACTGTGTACTTAATATTGTACCCTTCAGCGCCTTCACAAGTTCACAGCAATGAATATTGACAAAAAAAAGAATATGACGTTATTAAATGTGACGTCAGCGTCACTATACCTTGTTTCTGTATTGAAATACTATTGGTCTTCGAGGTCCACGGTTTCATATGCCGGCAAACATGCGCAAATATTACCGCGTCATCGGTCATCCTCTTCCTGTGAAGGTATCCCGTGAGGTTGGCTACTTCCTATTTAAATATGGGCAGGGCGTGTAGGCAAGCCCGTTTCACGAACTGGATGAATACTACCGCACCATCCTTACGATATTTGGCGAGGTGTTATATTTATCACTTAACAGATTAGTTAATGGACAGGAAGTGTTGATGTGGCCGTCCTACGTACCGAAGTTTTCTATGGTGAAGACGAACTAGGGTCTCTATTCTTTTGGCCTGTCGGTTCTACATTCTCGTATACTTTCTTATTTGACGCAAATAGACTATCTTCAGTCATTTTATAAGACAGTATCGATATGGCAGCGATTGCCGCGTTTAGAAGGCAGATAGCCTGTAGACTGTCCCAGGTGACTGCAATTAACACCGAGAGCATTGCAGGCGCACTCACATGGAGCCGAAATGAGAAGGATGGCGACCTTTCTATTGCTGTGCCCAGCCTTTTGGCTTCAGCGAGTAAGTGTATGATCTGTTTCTATACGTGCATACAATGGGCATATTATAAGAACAACTAGGTCCGCTGGGGTTCTAAGGGGGTTGAATGGGCGTAAACGTCTCCCTGTATTGCATGTCTCGCACCATTGGTGTAACCCGCAATTTCGCTACCTTACACAGCGCTCAGATACCAATTTGGTGTCGGTGGTACCGTCGGTTTACTTTATATTCGCTTGAGTATCACACACTGTTTTCTTGGTGTAGTTGGCTGCCGCTTATAGTTTGACTACAGGCTCGCTACGCCGCGAATAGAATTACGCTGTCGCATGAATCTCTGAACGGTAGCCGACAGAGAAACATGAGCAATACATCCTTATTCACCACTACAACAAAATTTGACTAACATTTATATATTACTATTTATGATGGATCTACTGCAAATCAGCGACTGCGATGAAGGACAGGGGAACGCACTCTGGGCTGGTCTCAGGAATAAGCCCTGCGCAAGTAGCTGTACGATTGGCGGACGAGTACAATTCAGCCCCAATCCCAAATGGAAACACAGCAGACACTGCACAAGACGGTCCTGTTGTGAGCCATGAAGGTGCAATCACGGTGTCGGCAAAGGACATATTCCTCAATTTCTCTTTTCGGACCGATATCCTGGTGCGCGAGGTTTTGAAGGTACGTGCGACTGTAAAACTTTGTGCTGTTGCGAAGGGGGTCAGATATCTGGTGAACACTCTATGCCACTGACGCTCACATGTGTTTGTGGGAGAGACAAAGGGCTGTCTCTGTCATGGCAACGGGCGTTGCTATGGACCACCCTTTCATGTGCTTCATTCTATTGGGCGGATCTTTGAATGCCACGAGTGATTACACAGTATGCTTGTATTGCGAGTGTGTCTTATGAAGTGTTTGTATCCCACAGTTATCCAAGGTAAGGTGTAGTGTATCGATCTTGTGCATTGTAGTCTACGATAGAACGGACGCACACGTAGATGACAAATATAGAGCCATTTCTCGTTGTCGTCCCGCTATAGTGTCCCGGAATAGGAAGCAGTTCGCCCTCTGACATCTCCTCTGGCTAGCACTTATTCGCTTGTGTCTGAGACCCAATACACGCATGTTTACGAAAGAGAGAATACCCTTGTATTTCTACTTACAGTGATTTAAGTACCCGGGTAGGCTGTGTTCACAATTAACAGCTATCCTCCACTATCTACCTACCTCTATTTACCTACCAACCCTTACTGCCGGTGGGTGCATGTCAATTGACAGTTCTCGTGTAGCTGCTGATGCATATGCTGCCATAGGCACAACACAAGTCGTAACGCACGAACCCATTACCAATAGAATCGCTCATTTGCTTCAACTGATATGGTTAGACGCTCGCGCCTGTGCGGTAGTTACCAATCGACCTGTTCTAACTAGCTTCTGCGCAGCACATATGTGACCTTTCCTTCAACGAGGGCTATATGCCGCAAGCAGTGAGTGCATCGGATTGACATGAATTGGTATGTTTGTGATACTGTTACTGTCATGCAGGACGTGCACACAAACACAGACACATACGGCCGGAGCTGTGTGTTTGCTGGCAAACGGGCTGTGGTCGAGTTCAGTTCACCCAATATCGCCAAACCGTTTCATGCCGGCCATCTGCGATCAACGGTTCTCGGCAGTTTCATCTCACGTATACTCACGTTTAACGGCTATGACAGCGTGAGACGGATCAACTATCTGGGAGACTGGGGGAAGCAATATGGTGTGTTTTATATCCAGTTTAT